GTAGTTGGACATAATACCTTTATTTATTTATTTATTTATTTTTATGTGATGCCGAGGATCGAACCCAGGGCCTCGCTCTACCACTAAGCCACAACCCCAGCCCCTTTCCCAGCTCTTTTTATTTCTAGTTTTGAGACAGGAACTCACTATGTTATTGAGGCTGGCCTCCAACTTGTGACCCTCCTGCCTCAACCTCCCGAGTCACTGGAATTACAGGCATGTACCTCACCGCACTCAACTTGGATCAATTTCATTCCTCCCAGATAAAAAGTCTTTATGTTCTCTGTTCCTATAAAATTTGATCAGCAAATTCTGGTCTGGAAGCCAGAAGTCTGAGAACAAGCTGGCTCTTAGGAAGACTCTTTTCTGCCTCTCCTTAACCTCGGCGGCTGCCAGCAATCCATCCTCCCGCCTGTGCCTTCACCTTCGCACGGCCTCCTCCTTGGCATCTCTGTGTCCAAATCCCCGTCTTCTTATAAGGACACCAGTCCAACTGGAGTCAGGGCCTGCGCGAGTCCAGGACGACCTTGTTGTAACTTCATCACATCTGCAAAGACCCTGTCTCCAAATAAGGCCACATTTATGGGTTCTGACTGGGCATGAACTGGGGGACACTATTYGACCCACTGTACCTGGAGAAACTCCAATTTAATTAGGTCTCTCTCCTCTTAACATTCCAGCTCTTTAGACAGGAATCTTCATTTCCCGAATTGAAAATGGATCCTTTTCACTGGGCAGAGATCAAAAAGGTGGTGGTTTTTTTTAAATATTTTTTTTTAGTTATAGGTGGACAGAATACTTTTATTATATTTTTATGTGGAGCTGAGGATTGAACCCAGTGCCTCACGCATATGAGGCAAGCGCTCTCCCTCTGAGCCACAATCCCAGCCCCTGGAGGTGCATATTGTATCCACCCAGGACAGTTAAAGGCCAGGGAGGCGGCTCCAGGTTGGCAGGCCCTTCCCAGTCCTGCATGGCCAGTCTCCCTCATCCATTCGCCCTGTCCCTCAACAAACCTCAGAGTACTCACCAGGCCTTGCCCACAGACCCGCAGGCCTGCAGGCCCCTGGAATGCCAGCAGAGAAACAAAATCAGACATAAGCTCTTTGCAGCAGGGTTCTTAACAATGAACCCTTCTTCTTCTTTTTTCCTAATACCTTTGTTTATTTATTTTTATTTTTATGTGGTGCCAGGGATCGAACCCAGTGTCTCACACATGCTCGGCAACTGCTCTGCCACTGAGCACAAGCCCCAGCCCCAGTGAACCCTTCTTATTTGTGTATTTGAGAATTCTCTCTGGGTGAAGTGCTAATTGTTTTTTAATATAAAAACCCAATTTTATTCTTAATAATGTTTCCCACCATGGGCTGGGGTTGTGGCTCAGGGGTACAGTGCTCGCCTAGCACGTGCAGGACGCTGGGTTCGATCCTCAGCGCCACATAAAAATAAAATAAAGGTATTGTGTCCAGCTACAACTAAAACAAAATATCTTTTTAAAAAATGTTTCCCTTGGGCTGGGGATGTGGCTCAAGTGGTAGCGTGCTCGCCTGGCGTGCATGCGGCCCGGGTTCGATCCTCAGCACCACATACAAAGATGTTGTGTCCGCCGAGAACTAAAAAATAAATATTAAAAAAAAAAAAAAATGTTTCCCATCTTCACCTATTGACAAGGCTATCCCTTTTATCACTAAAGTTTGATTTGATTTGAATATACCTCAAGCATCTTTCTAATTCAAATTTATTTTTCTACAATCAGCATTTTTATTTTTATTTTTTTATTTTAAGATGGGATCYAACTATGTTGCCCTGGATAGCCTCAAACTCAACAATCCTCCTGCCTCAGCCTCCCAAGTAGCTAGGACTACAGGCCCGTGCCACCACACCTAGTTGTAGTATTTTAATATCCATTCAATTCCTCTCCTTGATATGAGCCTCTATCATTATTCCAAATGAACAGTCATTTCTCACAGTATTTCTATTCTGAATTACCCTATTACAGTTTATTTTTTAAGTCCTCTCTGGGTCTAAACTCTTGCAACTCAAGCCTTTTCTATGCTTTCTGCAAAAATTTTCTTTCCAGGGCTGCCGAATATAGTTGTTTGGGTTGTACACTGACATGGTTGCCATCACATCAGAATCCTGCAACTCAGATTTTCATATTTTCTTTAATGTATCTTTTTTATTTTTAACTGAGGATTGAAATGAGGGGTGGTTTATCACTGAGTTACATACCTAGCCCTTTTTTGTATTTTGTTATTGTGAGATAGGGTCTCACTAAGTTGATGAGATTGGCCTAAACTTGTGATCCTCTTGCCTCAGCCTCCCAACTAGCTGGGATTACAGGCATGTGCCACCATACCTGGCTGCAGTGGTTTTCTAAGATGCACACTGGCTTCTATTTCTACCATCTCTGAAATTGTGGTGCACTTGTTGTGCATGCTCTTAATTAGCAATGTTAGGAACTGTGATGTTACACCATATCTGGTGAGACCTCACAGCAAGTAGCCGGGATCTGAAGCCAGTGAGACAAACCCACACCTATAGTTTAATACAGAAAAAAAAAAAAAGATACTGGGAGGGACCAGTCATCTGGAAAAGGAAAACACCTTGACCATAGGGCATGGGCATGGGCATGTGTGTGTGCATGTGGACACAAAAGCATGTGGGTGGGGTGGACCCAGGGAAAACAGGGACTGCAGCCTGCGGAGAGGGTAGGACCCACCCAGCTTCCCTCTTGCCCAGCTTTTCCTCCTGGAGGAGATGCGAGAGCGGAAGTTCGACGGCTTTGCCCGCACCATTCAGAAGGCCTGGAGGCGCCATGTGGCGGTACGGAAATACCAGGAGATGCGGGAGGAAGGTGAGCTGCTTGGGGTGGGAGACTCAGGGTGGGCACAGGTGGATGTAGAAGAGCCACACCTTGACCTCTGTCCTGACCCCATGTTGACAGCTTCCAACATCCTGCTYAACAAGAAGGAACGGAGGAGGAACAGCATTAATCGGAACTTCGTGGGGGACTACCTGGGGCTGGAGGAACGGCCAGAGCTACGTCAGTTCCTGGGCAAGAGGGAGCGTGTGGACTTTGCAGACTCGGTCACCAAGTATGACCGGCGCTTCAAGGTGAGGCCCTAGCAGGTGGGCACATCCAAGACCCTGTCCCTGCTTGAACCAGAAGCACTGCCAGCTGTCCTGGACACACTCAGCCACAGGTATATATATATTCACCTAGGCTGTGCCTGGGTACATGTGTCTAACACAGATACACTAACCTGTCCCAGACACGTCAACAGGTATTCACTCCAACATCATAGATGTATGCGTCCATCAAATATGCTTTCATGTAGCCCAGACACACCTGACCATTAGATATGCCCTTACCTGGCCAGGCATATCTGTCCGCAATTACATATTCGTCTCACCCAGAAGCCCACTTCAGGGCTGAGAATGTAGCTCAGTGGTAGAGCACATGCTTAGCACATGCAAGGTCCCGGGTTCTATCCTCAGCATTCAAAAAAAATGCCTCAGTCACAAGACCCAAGCACTGTCACCTGGTCCAAGAGCTGTCCTTGAGCCAGGGTACCAAGATCCAGCAAGTGCTTCACCTACCTTGTACCCATTTGCTGGCCCAGTCACCCCTTTTGAGCTAATATACCCTCACTCAGCTTTCTTCTGTTTCTGATATAACTCACATACCTTTACCTGGAGGGACCCCCTTCACCTTCACTTCACCACCCCTGCGCCTGGGCCCAGGCTGCTCATGCCCCAGGCTCCAGCCACCACYGGCCTCTGGTTCTGCATTCCCACAGCCCATCAAGCGGGACTTGATCCTGACCCCTAAGTGTGTGTATGTGATTGGGCGAGAGAAGGTGAAGAAAGGACCAGAGAAGGGCCAAGTGCGTGAGGTCCTGAAGAAGAAGCTGGAGATTCAGGCCCTGCGGGGAGTCTCCCTCAGGTGAGGCCAGGTCACCTGTGATCTTCAGCTGCTCTTATACTTGTTGCCCCACTGYTACCTTGAGAGTCTTACCTATGGCTGTACCTGTAGCCCTCTCTTTGGCCCTACCTGCCACATTCACTTGCTCCTACATTCAAGATCCTTATGCCTCAACAGCTTCGGTCCTTGCACTCATTCTCCTACTAGACTTCACCCAGCCCTTCTCTATTACCAACTTTCCCAGCTCCCCCCCAMCCCCGTTCCCTCACCTGTGTCAACCCCTCACTTGACCCTTACCTGACAGTCCGTCCCTTGTTGCATCTCACAAGTTAGTTCTTCCGCCACCCTCACCTGTCGCTCTCGCCTGCCTTTCCTCCCACTTCCCCCAGCACGCGACAGGACGACTTCTTCATCCTCCAAGAGGACGCGGCTGACAGCTTCCTGGAGAGCGTCTTCAAGACCGAGTTCGTCAGCCTTCTGTGCAAGCGCTTCGAGGAGGCGGCACGGAGGCCCCTGCCCCTTACCTTCAGCGACACGTACGCCCCTAGCCCAGCATCATCCTCGGGCTGGTCTTGGCGCAGCGACCCACACTCCAGTCCCAGGGACCCACTCTCCAGTCCCAGGGACCCAGGACMCGAGCGCCTGGCGCCTTGCCCCTCCCCCCCGCGGCCGGGAGAGGGGGGGAGAGGGACCCCAGCTAGCGGCCCAAGCTTCCTCTTCTCCCCGCAGACTACAGTTCCGGGTGAAGAAGGAGGGCTGGGGCGGAGGCAGCACTCGCAGCGTCACCTTTTCCCGCGGCTCAGGAGACATAGCGGTACTCAAGGCTGGAGGCAAAACCCTCACGGTCAGCGTAGGTGACGGACTGCCCAAGAGCTCCAGTGAGTCTGCGCGGAACCGGGRGCGGAGCCAACGAGGGCGACCAATCACGGCTAGGGGATGGTCGGGAATGCGCAAGAGCCCCACGGCGGGGGCGTGCCCGGGAGTGGGAGGGCCCAAGGAAAAGGACCAATGAGGGGTGGAGTCCAGGGGGGCGTGGCCAACTACTGGGGCGGGCTCCAGGGCCTAAGCGTGACCTACAGTCAATGGTGTCCAAACTGTAGCTCACTCTCTTCTGTCCTGATGTCAGTGCTGAGGGGAGAGCAAAGGGCCTGAGGGGAGAGCAAAGGGCCTGAGGGGCGGTGCCTGGAGTCGAGCCAGAATGGAGGGGACTTGTGGGCGGGGCCTACAATCAGGTGCAGCTGAGCCACCACCCAAATACCTGCATCCTTTCTTCTTTTAGAGCCTACGCGGAAGGGCATGGCCCAGGGAAGACCCCGAAGGTCAGCCCCAGCCCCTACCCGGGCGGCCCCTGGCCCCCCCAGAGGTGAGAAGATACCCCTCACTTAGTGTCTTCATTTGCCTCTCGCGGGCTCCAGGGCCTAAGCCTGACCTACAGTCAATGGAGTCCACAAGCACTGTAGCTCACTATCTTCTGTCCAGAACTTTCCAAGCTCCCCATCTCCCACAGAATACAGGCTAAATTTAGTTTGATATTCAAAGCCCGTCAAGATCCCATTCCAGGGCTGGGGCTGGGGCTCAGTGCTAGAGTGCTCTTCTGGCAAGTGTGAGGCCCTGGGCTTGAGCCTCAGCACCACATAAATAAAATTAAAGGTATTGAGTCCACCTGTAACTAAAAATATATATATTAAAAAAGATCCCATCCCAGCTAGCCAGTGAGTGACCTCTTCGCCCATCCTATGCCCCTGCCATGCAAAATACATTTTCTTATTACATTTTATTACATTTTATTTTGCCAACTCACCAAATTTATTCTTACCTCCAGGCCTTCACTTGGGCTATTTACTCTGCCTTGTCTCCCAAATCCCCACACATGATGAGCTCTGATTTATCCTCCAAGACCCACCCTCAAAAGGCCTCCTGCGGGGCCGGATGTTCTTCTGCAAAGCCTCCCTTTAGACCTTCATGTCTCCAGGGTTCCTCCCATACTGGGCTGAGTGTGGCTGCCTCCTCCCTCCTGAAATACAGATAATTCCTCCCTGACAGACAYCCTGATCTTTGCTTCCACCACAGGCCTGGACCGAAATGGTGTGCCTCCTTCTGCCAGAGGGGGGCCCCTGCCCCTGGAAATCACTTCTGGAGGGGGTTCCCAGCGGCCTCCCCGGGGTCCTCCATCCTCAACCCTGGGGTCCAGCAGACGTCCCCGGGCACGGCCACCCTCAGAGCACAACACAGAATTCCTCAATGTGCCTGACCAGGGTGTGGCAGGGTAGGTGGGGTGGGAGGGCAGCCCCAGGAGGTGGGCAGAGGTAAGGGAGTGTCTGGTGCTGTGATGAGCACCCCCTTGTCTCCCCAGCATGCAGAGGAAGCGCAGCGTGGGGCAGAGACCTGTGCCTGGTGTGGGCCGACCCAAGCCCCAACCACGTGTACATGGCCCAAGGTGCCGGGCACTATACCAGTACATAGGCCAAGATGTCGATGAGTTGAGCTTCAATGTGAATGAGGTCATCGAGATCCTCATGGAAGGTGTGTGCACCAGGGCAGAGGTTGGGGTATGGCATGGTCAGAACCCTGACACCGCCAGGCTGCCCCCTATTGTTGCACATCCTTCCCATCCATGTGAAAACAGAAGCCACTAGCTTACAGCTCTGAGCAACACCTTCCATGCCAGTGGCATGGCTGCACAGGCTGGAGAGCACTGGCTGTGAAGGTCAGTTCCTAAGCCACCTCGGGGCTCTGGCCTCACTGCATCACACCTGGTCCCTGACCCTCATTTTTCTTACTTGTCACATATTTCTAGTAGCAGAACCTACTTTAAAGGGGAAAGAAGCTGTGTCTGGAGGGCCAAAGCCCCTCCTACCTTAATTCCCTGGGCTGCCTCCAGCAGAGCCTAGGACTTAGGACACACTCCACAGACAGATGTGGGAGCCTCCTGGGGTCTCAGAGACCTGTTCATTCCTAGGTTCACTCTGGGGGTTGGAGGAAGGAGCCTGCTGAAGGCAATAGATAAGGGATGAGCACAAGAAATGTTATAAAAAATGACAGGGATGGGGGTATGGCTCAGTGGTAGAGCGCTTGCCTACCATGAGCAAGGCCCTGGATTCCATCCCCATCACCACAAGAAAGAAAAAGGGAAGAAAGAAAGAAAATGACTATGTGAGCCAGTGGTTAGGAAAGACATTCCTCCCTCCCTCCTTTCTTTCCATTTTTAACAACTCTCCCTTGTGTCAAATCAAGGATGCAGAGATAAGTAAGACACTGAACTGGCATGGGGGTTCTCTCCAGGGTAGCTGGGCATCACCCCAAGCTCTCTTCTCTCACACAGATTCTTCAGGTTGGTGGAAGGGCCGCCTACATGGCCAGGAGGGTCTTTTCCCCGGAAACTACGTGGAGAAGATCTGAGCCGGGAGCCTGGGATTGTGTCCTCCACCTGCTCGTCTGTCTGTCAGGATCCAGGCTGTGCCTGCAGAGTCTGGATTACTTTGGCTGCATTGGCCAGAAAGTCCAGTTCCGTGGCCTCCATCCCAGCCCAGACTGTGGGTCTGAGGAGTCACTGCTGCAGCAACCCTCCTAGGCTCTGGCCTCCTTCCTGTCACACCTGCTGCYGAAGTCTGTATTTCTTCTTGTATCAAACAGGGCTAACAGCAGAACCTACCTCCCAGCTGCCTTATGTTTATGAAATGAATGTCCTAGGCTGTTGACCAAGTGCCGGGCATAGTCCAGGGTGAAGGGGCCTTGACAAGTGGGACTTCCCCCTTCTCTCATCATAGGCAATAAATATGTGCCTGGTGAAAGAGTGAATTAAAATCATTGAGTATCCACAAGGACTGTGTTCTCACAACCCTGTGAGGTGGGAGCAGTGAATGCCCCCACTTTGCAGGTAGACAAATAGAGGCTCAGAGAGGTTCAGCCTCTTATCCAAGACTCAACAGAGCCCCTCTCACCAAAGCTTGAATTTGTCCCACTTTCCTTTCCAGAAATTGCATCCTAAATGATCCAGCAGATTCTGTCAACCTCTAAATCTGCAGCCCTCAAACTCATCTGGAACCTCAGTAAACCCTCAGGCAGGAGGCAGGTTCCACATGGTTCCCTGCAAGCCACCCTGGGTCACCCCTGGTCCCTGCCCCACCATCCTATATATGTGCTCTCTTAGTCTTTATTCACCTGGGGTCAGGACCAGTTCTGACTTTTGAGGGTGCTGACATTCTCATGGATTCTGAGTATTCCAGGGCTCCCTGTTGGGGCAGCTGTAACTGGCAGGGAGACCTGCTACTGCGTGAGCCTAAAGATCCAGGCTTTCCATTCTGGACACCCTCTCTGTCCTCAGCCCCTCAAGGAGSAGCCAGTCTGGGAGGAACATGGACAGACTGATGGATTCAGTACAGAGGAGACACAGATGGCATTGCTAGAAGAGCCCTGAAGGCTGAAGAGGGTTGGTCTCAGTAGATCCTGGCTACAAGCATGACACTGTTCTATGCCATGACAAGGACATTCCAGGCAGTGGACACCTGAACCACTGGAGAATAAAGGATGAGACATCCAAGAATGTCCAACAGAGAAGATCCCTACCTTCTCTCTTCTGCATTCACCTTGGGAAGCCAAGCTGGGCTGGGAAAAAAAAGATCACAAGGCTGCAAACAGGTCTCAACAGCCCAATTATTGGTCAATCATTCTGCAAAAGCATTTAATAATCCCTTGAATGTCTCTGGTCCACTCCATCTCTGAGATTCTTTATTCCAGCACAACCACCACTATGTGCTCGCCTGTCTGTAAGACCCTGGTGTGAGGACAGGCTGGAAGAGGACTGTGTCACTCATCAACATCTTGGGTTGGGCATTTCCTGAGCGCAAAAGAAGAATCAGGGCTTTATCTCCCTTCTCTGCCCTCAAACTTATCATGTAGGCTGCCCTCCCTTCTGGCACTTTGAGGTTCAGCCCTATGGTCCCACTGCCATTGAGGGTACCCCGTTTTCAGGAAATAAGGCCTTCTGGGCAGAATGGATGGATAAGGGTTGGGCAGGACATTAGTGATGGAGAAGCGGGTGAGTGTGGTATATTTTAACAGACAGCATCTCATATCTAGGTTACAAGAATCTTCAGGCTGCAAACCTCAATCACCTTGGCCACATCGGCTGCTCAATGCCACATCCTGTGGACTCTCACAAAATTTCTTAAATTGGGTCCCTCCTCTCAGTTCCTTGGGGCCCAGTCCCTTCTGAGGCCTCCCCCCATCCTTCCTCAGATTATATCACCCTCCCCAGAGTGCAAGTGCAACATCCCTCTCCACTTGGCACCAAAATGACTTTTTGTTTTCTTAAAACTTAATGAATTTTTATCTGAATGGTAATTAAAAGAAAAATTTTATTAAAATAGCATCAAAGTGTGAAAAGTCAATCCCTTAAAAATTCCTACTCCCCACCTCAGAATTTTTTTTGGGTTTTTGTTGTTGTTTTCAGTGCTGAGGATCAAACCCAAGGCCTTGAGCATGCTAAGCAAGCACTCTTCCACTGAGCAACACCCCAGCCCTGTTTGTTGCTTTTGTTTGTTTGCTGGCGCTGAGGATTGAACCAGGGCCTGAAATATACTAAGCACATGCTCCTTCCTCGTTTTTTGTTGTTGTTGTTGTTTGTTTGTTTGTTTGTTTCGTTGGTTTGTTTTCAGGTACTATGAATTGAACCCAGGGATGCTCGGCCACTGAGCTACATTCCCAACCATTCTTATTTTTTATTTTAAGACAGAGTCTGCCAAGTTGCTCAGGCTGGCTGTGAACTTGGCTACAAAAGCATTTAACAATTCTTTGACTATTTCTGGTCCTCTCCCGAGTGTCTGGGATTATAGATGTGTCATACCTGGCTCCTCCCATTTTCAAATACCTCTTATTATCTTCCCTGCATATAAAAGCACAGAAGCACATCTTGTTTTACACATATAGAAATACACTGCATATAAAGTCCACACTTGCCTGAGACTCAACACTTCTCGGATTGAATGATGTGTTGTAGAGATTTGCAATTAAGGGTCTATTTTACTTTCTGGCCTAAAGACTCATCTTCCAAATGATCATCAGGGATCAAATGTTGTACCTCCTTCTGCTACAAATTCATCAGTGATTTTACTACAAACCRTAATCGAGGGCCTGCAAGCCCCATCCTCACCATATTCACTTTCTGACCCCTATATGCTGCCCTCATTCTGCTCCAGCAGTGCAAAGGGATCCTATTTCTTGATAAACAAGCTTATCCCTCCCCATCACAGGACATTTGTACCAGCTTCCCTGAGCACAGTACTTACTTGACCTTCCATTCACTCCTTCTTGACCAGCAGGTGACAACTCAGAAGTCACCACCTCATCACTGTGACAACCTTCTGTTTTATTTGTTTTCTTCTTTGAGCTGAATAGAACCCAAGATCAGTTTCTCCATCTGACTACTTCCCCATATTAAGGTTTGAGTTCTGGAGCAGGGATTCTTGTCTGTCCCATTCACACCTGGATCCCCAACGCCTAGATGGGTACCTAGCACAAAGAAAGATGGACAAAACCCACTCCACACCAGTGCACACTGGGCTCCGCATCCTTACTCCAGGAACCACACCTCGCCACCCTGAGGTTTTACCCCTTTATTAAGCCTAAAGATCAAAAATCAGCTTCCTTCCTGCACTTGGCTATTACAAAAGACACTTCAATTATTGAACTAGGTGGACTGAAAAACTTGATTACTGTTGCCAATTTTCTCCAAGAAGGACCAATTAAAAGAAAAACTGATGTTTATCGCCTTTGGAGGGCTGACGATGGAACAGGCCAAAAGGGCATGAAGYTGCTCATTTTGCAAACGATCAGAGAGCTTCCTCACGCCGGATCTCTGTCCTTTGCCCCAGCCTTTGGCTCATAAATCGGCCAGCACTAGTCCACGCGACGGCCTAGGACTCGAGCCTCAGGCCCCGCCCACTGGAGGACAGCACCGAGCAGGCTCCGCCCTTCTCTCGCGAGAGCTGAGAGGCGGAAAATGGCGCCGACGTGAATGCGAACCTGCATTGCCGAGAAAGTAGCCGCCTCCTGAGTTGGAGCTGCCGGAGCCGCATGAACCAGAGATCGAGCAGTCGAGGATGGTGAGCGCAGCGCCGGGGGAGCGGGCGCGGTACCGCAGCGAGGACTGGCTGGGAGCGATCCCGTCGCATACACACCCTCCGACCGACCCCGCCCTCACATCCGGGCACCCGCTCGCCGCTGGCTGTGGCTAGGCAAGCCCCCTGCCCCTACTTCCGGGCCTGGCCTCGGGTAGGCCACGCCCATCAGGCTCGGGCTCCTCCCGAGAGCCTCACACAGCCGGGCCCTGAGCGCCTCGAAGTTGAGCCACACAGCTGTAACCTGGCCAGGATATCCCCATCATGCACAGTTCACTTCTGGAAAATCCAGCATCTTCCTAGCCGCGTCCTGTCCAGAGCCCCGACTTTATAGCTTTGCCTCCGTTCATTCCCTCTAATCTGCCATCGACCTCTTAGGGCGCCTCCCACCTGTCGGAGCTGGAGACGTGGAGATGGTTCTCTTAAGTGTAGCTTCCGACAGAGGCTGGAGCTCAGTCCACTCTTGCCTCCTTACCCTCTCTTGCTGATGATGTCCTAGAATGGGGCGGGTGGATGGTTTTGCGGGGTCTGGAATTCAGGAATGTTAAGCCTAGTGGTCCTTTCAGGGTGGGAGGAGCTTCCCTGCTGGCCCAGAGAAACCCGAGTACAGACTAGTTCTCTTCTACCAGGAGGAGGAACCGTCCGTGCCCGGCCCAGACTTGTTAGCCACTGCAGAGCCCAACTCCAGTGCGACCGACCAGGAGGTGGTGTCCCCAGTTGTGGCTGAGGCAACCACTTCTTCCTCCATGGAGGAGGAGCCAGACCCTAATGGGACAGCCACACCCCCAGTTTGGGAACGTGGAGGGTTTGGAGGTACACAGCAGGGTGCCTCCCCAGCCCCAGACAGCTGCCAGACAGGCCCTGGACCCAGCCCTGTTTCGGGGACCAATGAGGACCTGCGGCCTCCCAGGCGACGCCCACCACCAGGTGACCTGTGATGGGGCCTACTGGGGGGTGTCACAACACAGGTCCCACATCAGGAAATGGGGAGTGCGGTATATGGCCAAACTAGGGGACATCTACAGGGATTTCTGTCGCCATTTACTGAGCACCAAGTGTATGCTGGTCTTTGGCTTCAATGAGGAACCAGATCAATCCAGCCCAGTACCCTTTGGCAGCTCATTCTTGTGGGGAACTTGCATAGTCTGGGGGCCAGCGGCAGGCAGCATTCATGAGGAAGGGATCTGTGACCCTCATTCTGTATCCTGCAGGGAAACAAATACCCTGCTCTAGCCCTGGCTGCTGCCTCAATTTCCCCAGTGTTCGCGACCTGGCACAGCATCTTCGTACCCACTGCCCGCCCACACAGTCCCTAGAAGGTAGGACCAAAGCAGATGGTGGGGAAGCAGGTTAGAGTGGGAAGCAAGCCTTGCCCCCGTGGGCCAGCCTTGGCCACCCCACTCTTCCACTCTGCCCTTTGTCCCTGCCAGGCAAGCTCTTCCTCTGCTCAGCCCTCAGCTGCACCGAGAGCTTCCCCAGCATGCAGGAGCTGGTGGCGCACGGCAAGCTGCATTACAAGCCTAATCGCTACTTCAAGTGAGCTCCTGACCAGCCTGCCCTACCTCACCTTATGTGTGGGGTCCAAACCTTTTTCTATGTGGGTAGCGGGGGGGGGGGGGGGGGGGGGGGGGGGGCGCCGCCGGAGATGGGCGTGGTCTCGGG